AAACTGACCCTCTTGTGCGGGAGAGGGGGGGGGGGGGAATAACGCACACGCGAATATATAAGTACGACTACTCGGACGATGTTCGAACAACGCACGGGGCTACCCCATATAACACGTAAAAATAAGTCGCTCCCCTTCCTTAGGCTTCTCTCTCTCTATCGCATGTGACCTGACTCCAAATATGTGTGTGTGTGTGTGTGTGTGTGTGTGTGTGGAGAGGGTGCACACGTGCGCGTTCGATCGCGCCCCTACGAACTACCACGCTAACCGCCGGCGAGAACGTCGCTCTTCCGCCGCGACGCGATCCCGCGAAGGTGAGAGAGGAACCGCCACTTCCGGTACGCGAAGAACTCGACCTTAATCCGCACAACAACGGACGAGCGTGCCGTTGTTCTCGATTCGGTGCTCTATACCAATAAAACAACAATACTCGCGACGTTTCTCACGCGAGCCGCTCTCTTCTTCTTTCTCTCTTTCCACGCTCCGTCCCGTGTTCCCGGCGCGCATTCGGCGTCTTCGTGTACCCTCGGACGCGCGTTCCCCGCCTCCACCAGGCCGACAAACATACTCGAACTTGAAGGCACGATCGTGCTCGAGCGCGCGGCGGGAACACGGGTCTATTCTTAAACAGTTCCGTGTGACGTACCGATTAGAGGACGCTCTTCAGTTTAGGTTGCGAGAGAAAGCTAATTGGATCTCATTGGATCGGAGACTCGTGTCCAAAGGACGTCCGAAAGACGCTCACTGATATGAGACTGATGTGAGACGTTCGAAAGCTCAAAGGGGGGTTAACGTACGGAGGACCCGAACGGTTCTCGGGCGTCTGAAAGATTGGGACGTCCTTTGGACGTTCCTTCGTTCACGGATCAATACGGTGTCGCGGATACGAGTGCGAATGCGCCCACGTCGTGACGTTACGGCTTCTTCCTTTCGGACGTGCATGTGTGCGACGTCGTTTCGCTCGAAAGTTGCTGCCTTACGGCTTAGACGCAATGAAAGGATTAAGAAATTAAATGTAGGGTGTTAGGAACGAGGAATTAAATTTCCACGTACGGACAAGTACGCTTCAATTTACAACGAAGGAATAGGGAACTAGGATTAGGAACACTGTCGAAATTCTATTTCTTATTATTTGTATATTTATAAGAGCTTGCTAGTTGAAAGTGAACTTTTAAACTGTCTAATGATCATCAGTATACAAATGAAAGTCAGTTTGAATGAATCGATAATTATCAAGAAAATGATAAAAGTGTTAATGATGGCAGTAGAGGTTTATTAGAAAATAGTAAAAGTGATGATCTCGTTTGACAAAGTTTTCACATCTTATCTTCTATTGCCTTTTAAACATTTACAGCTTATTACCGTTCTTCTAATTCCCTATTATTTAATTCCTCGTTCCTTCTTCCTTTCATTGTGCCTCATATTTGCGGACATCTATCCGCAACGTCGTAACGTCACGATTGCTCCTCCTCGCGAAAAAAATCCCAGGTGAAAAAAGAAAAGCCACGCGCGCCCGCTGAATGTCTCGTTTTCGCGATCTTTTTTCGATCTCCCGCCGTGCCACGTTAAAGAAATGGACGAATAGAGCGTAGAGCGCACGTACGGTCGGGAGGGCACGTGCGCGACGAAGGAACTAAGCTTTTAGGTCTGATTAAGAAGTGGAACTGTGGTGACGACCGTACCGTAGCCGACTTCTGACCGCGGCGACATTCAACGCGCACGAATGGAATCGCGATCACGTGGGTTATGCTTGCTTATATACCTCGTTTCCTCCGCAGCCGGTGCCTCTCTCTCATCCGACATCTCCTCCGGCCCGAGACTCCCTCCGTGGCGCGAGAGAGGGGCTCGAGAATGGTCGAGGGTTGATCCCGTCGTGTGTATCCGGCTGTTTCTTCCTCCTTTCTTCTTCTCCTATCTTCCCACTCCTCTCACCCTCTCTCTCTCTTTCTCTATCTCTCTTTCTTTTTCTCTCCTCTTCGGCATCTTAAACAGATTCTCAGGGTTATCCCGAGAAGAACTTTTACGATAGCACGGACGTTAGTCCCGGTCTGATGGCGAAGGAAGCCGCGAACTGGACAATTTTTAACGATCTCCTAGACGGGAGGAGGGATGACGACGTGGCGGTGGATCAGAGGAAACGTAGAAGACGCCGTTGCAACCTACTGATAGGACGCCATCCGGTGGAAATCCCTCCCGTTGCGGCCGGACTCGCACGATGACTGCTCGCTAGCAGGAGACCGGATAAGCTCCTAAAGTTGACAACGTATACGAGCGGGTCTTCGCGTGTCGCTGTCCATCGAGCCCGTCGGCGACCGACGTTCTTCCGAAACCCTCCCGCCGATCTGCCAGGTGGTCCACGAAAGTTCGCCGCGTTTCCTCGAATTTTCTTTGCTTCTCAATCATTCTGACCACACATGCTATCGACGCTCATGCCAAAAACGGATGTCCGCCTAACGATGGTTCCGATATGTGAGAGTTTCCGTCGTCCTTTCGTCTCTCGGATCTACGCCCACGAAACGATGTATACGTGGACGTTCCTCGACGCGACCGATAGCCCTCGTATCGAAGTTATCTCGCGCAACTGGATGCAACTGGACGAGTTTGAAAAACGTCGTGGCCCATCCGAGGAAACATCCCAAGCCCGTTTCTTCGTTCCTTTCGAGCGAGAGACTCCTCTCCGATCACTCGATCGAGACGTCTCTCTCGAGCCGATCCTGAGGATCCTCGACACGATCGACTGTCGACATCCAGCTGACTTTACCCCATCTCCGTCTCGCTCGCCAGACTAACAAACTCGTGAACGTGCTCGATCATCCTCTTCCCCGAGCCAAACACACGACGACGGCCGAAAGCTGATCTCTTCTTTCTTCTTCTTTCCTCCCCCCTCCTCCGCCTGCTCTCTCGGCCCCTCCTTGCTCTTTCGCACGCGCACATACAAGCATTCCACCTTTCGCTTTGAACCCCCCGCTTCACACACGCATTTTCTCTTAGCTTCGCTTTCACCATCGCCTCTCTCTTTCTCTTCTTCTTTTCTCTTGCTTCCCCCTGTCTCGTTCTCCTCTACCAAGCTGAAGACGGATCCGGACACGAGCGTGCTGCCACGTTGGTGCTCGACTCGGATGTGGTAGCGGGTGCCGAAGTGCGTCGGATCTCGATCGGTTTCGAGCCGGACACAGGCGGCCGGCCCAAAACCCCATGACTGTTTCACGATAGGTTCCGCTGGTCCTCCGCGCAGTCCTCCGCCTTCTTCAACGAGCGCTTCAGCTTGTCGACCAGCCGATTGTGGAACTTGTTGAGGGAGTTCGAACTGCCGGTCTTGGGCGGCGACGTGCCTGTACTCTTGCTCGGGCTCTGGAGGGAGCTCTGCGACGCCCTCGAGGACGTCCTTGAGAAGTGCCGCGAGGTCAGCGGTACGGAGCGGTGCGCCGGCGAAGTCAGGAAGTCAGAACCGGGCGACGTCGACAACGACGGACCCTCCGACTTGGAGCACTCGGACACCTGCGAACATGAGAGGGCCGTTTCGAATTAAGGGGGAAAACTGGGGGAAAACTCCCCGGGAATTTGTCCGTAAAAACGGAGCAACACGGAAAATTCAGTCACAACGGAATTGTCTTTTTCCGTGCACGAGAGAGCGATAATTTTAGAGGTTCGGTTATCGAATCCGTGCAATCATCGAGAATGTATCGAGCGATTATTTCATGCTGCAACGTCACTCTGATACACCTCGATTGATCCAAATACCAACTGACCAATTCACTCGGTTATCGTTTGCCAAGCTGTATTACTTATTAAATGTGCAACTTGCGAATTGCCGACAGCGATTCGCGATATCGTCACCGTCATTGTTCCGCGCAATTCTTCGAACGCAATGATCTATCTATTCTACCTCCTTTCGAAAGCAAATTCCGCTCGGTATTCATCGCGCGCAGAAATCACGACGAGATGCAGTCGCCGGGATAACAAGTACTCACGAAGTCACGTGTTTTTGCCCGATGCACGCGAACGGTGAAAGCTACGGCGATCCTGAGTCGCGAAGTACGTTCGCGAGAGACTGCTTTAACGCGCGCGAGTAACAGGGCAGAAACGAAATCTTCTCAATCGCCCGGCATCCTTCGTTCTCTCTCCTCCCTTTTTTTCTCCTCTCGCGATCTCAGGATCATACCGCAGCTTTCCAATGGTAATAATAACGTCACGCTGTGCGCGGCGATATCCGCCGCTCGAGATCGATCCGTTATCGAGGTATGTTCTCTGTTTTCGCAAAGCCGTAAATCAGCAGGAAACGCCTCGGGAAAACTCCCCGACAGTTTGTGTTAATTGCCGATGAATCGGTCGAGGAGGAATTTCGGATATCGTTGACGACGAACGCGCGATTAATTCGCAATTCACAGGCTGCTCACTCCTCCGCGAAACTCTCTTCGCTAATCTGATACGTCCAACGGCTGATTGATCGCGATTCCGACGAATTCACCTGCGCGAGAATTTTCAGCACGTACCGACCGATCGATCGCGGGCGATTCGATGCGGAGCACGATACGAACCGTACGCGGTGTCGACGCTCGCTTCGGAGCACGCGCACTTTCGCCACGCACGGACGCGTCGTACCGATGACCACGTGCCCGTATTGTCGTGTCGCGGTAGGGTTCGACCGATTAGACTAGATACGTTTTCGTGTGCGGCTCACCTTCCACACGAGTACAATGGCCGCAAACAGGATCGGATTGCGACGATGCAACACCTATATATATATATATATACGGTGACTCTCATACCTTCGCGGAAAGGCAATTTCTCGACTTGTTGGAGCCCATGTTGTCTTTAATATGGAAAATTTCGATTCAATCATGATTATCTCGTTAATTTTTCCAGTTTTCAACTGTCACGCGTAATAAATTACTTGAAAGTGACACCATGTTGGAAAAATATGTAATATTAAGGCTTTTTTGTTTCAGTAAAACAATATTTGATATATAATGAAGTAAATTTTCCTTTTATTGAAAAGAGAAATATTACTTCCTCTAAATATTTTAGAATATCTGGCTTTAATTTTAATTTAACTCCCACCGTCGGTTTTATCGATTCTCGTCGTCGTGTTACGCGCGATTACATAATACAACATGTGTCACAAACGAAACACGACGCACGACGCGTCGATATGTGCGCAAGTTTGTCGTCCACAAATGTTTCTCCCGCTTAATCTCTCCGTAATCTTCAGTAGGAAGGTTCGTATATATTTATAAAAAGCCCCTTATCGAAGCGTTACGAGAGATAATAATAGAAGTATTGGAAATAAACGAGCCACCCATTCGCGATCGATTGTATGTCGAGTCACCGTTGTGGGGGACAGCGCAAGTGTTTAGAAATCTGTTTATCGCGGCCTGCCTCAGAATCCATTGCCGGATATTCTCCCGTCGAAATGTCGAAATTAAACCGCACGTTTATTATCACCCAACATTATGAGAAAAACGAAAAACAGATGAAAAAAGAAACGTTTCACGAATCTTCTCACCGCAACTCGGTCGCGCGACCAACAATAGAAATAAGACGTTGCGAACGCGAATCGTGTACGATTGTAGAGCAATTATTGCGCGCCGATAAGACCGCGTCGTGATAGCATGAATGGGGAAAAAAAATGCGCAATACGCGAACCATGGCGATGAGTTATATAATTGATGACAATGATTTCTCGTGAGATTGCACTGGCGTTCTGGCAGTGACGATCGCTGACCGCTTACTTGCCACTTTCCGAGTCACGTGCTCGGGTTGACTCTAAATATCGACGTACAAGGACAAAAAGTTGTCGGTTGAAAATGTCTCGCGCCCGGTTTATTTTTTTTTTATAACGATATATTGACAACGTATGCAAGATTGTTTCGGGAGATATTCGCCGAGCGGAAATTAACCCGCCGTTGTGTGCAATGCGCGCGATATAACGAGTATTATACCGCGCATCGCCGCGACGGATACTTGCGGCGTTGATACTCGCCAATTACACTATCGGCTAACTAACACAACAGTGCGTAATTAAATAATTAATTAACTGCATTCCTCCTGCGTGTTAACCAAATAAAATCACTCGCACGCTCACACCCACACGTCGTCATTATTCAACGTGTGTCATTATTTCAAGCAATGTGTAATTATTATCGATCGCGCGTTATGAATCGCGCATTACAAACAGAAGAATGCACAATTTGAGATATGAGAAAGAAATGTTTCCAATCACTTCGTTCATGACGAAAGACGATCTGTCGAAAAAATTCCCATACGGCCCCCGAATTGCGTAACAAACACGTAGAAGTAACTCGGTCGGAAGCAGAATCTTTTGTTTTCTCCTCGTAAAAAAGTAAGGAGGAGATTAAAGATACTAAGTTGAGAACCGCCGTCGCGAAGAATGCTCGATTGAACACGATGGCATCAACGCTTTTTGCCGATCACTTTTCTGCGTCGTTCCCAACTCGCGGTCTACGAATTGCCGCCTTTCGCAGCAATCCTCAGCGGCCCATCACGGTTACACGGCTTTAAGCATAGCAGGCCAAGTTCAAGAAACGGCATCGTGAAAATACTCGGAGCAAAACTGAGAATTGCTTCTACACGTGAAGCGGAAAATAGCAAACAGTTAACATTGTAACCCGCGAATATCTCGTTTCTGTCGCGGTACTTCATTTCTACGAAAACGTTGATCTTATATTAAAATATTTACATACATTTTGCACAACTGGAAGGTTCGATGCAACATTTAAGTAAATTATGTACGGATTTATACTTTATGCACGCATAGTGTATCTGAAACGCTTTATATATATTGTATTTACTTTATATATATATAGTTAACTTCTAATAATTTAGGAAGTACTAAATAAATTATTATCGGTAACTATTTCACCATCCTCTGCTGAGAGAATTCTATTGATGTATCGCAACTGTAATACTGATTAAAAATTTCCGACTAACATCGTTTGACTATTTAAAAAAATTCACAACATTTAAAATGTTCTCTCTCTCTCTCTCACTCTCTCAGTATTAATAATAAAGTTCCGATATATATCCGCAGAAGATAAAACGTGAAAAAGTGTACCGAACGATAACAAGTATGTACATATTCAATTGGCGCATTGCGCAAATGCCGATATACACGAACTGTTAGGTAACGATGCAATTGTTAGGTAACAATGAAACTCCGCGAAATCATCCTAATTTCCCGCACGAAATGTCACGGCAAATTCGCTGAAAAAAATCGTGGTATGAGGACAGAAATTGTTTTTATAGCCCACTTTTTGGCTGGATTCCTGTCGCATCTTTGGTTTCTACCGCGGAGATACTGTAGCCTGCGGTGGAATTTATAATTTAATGTAAAACCGATATCGAAACGTACGCGTTCAACAACACAGAATGACGGAAGTGATTAATAGAGTTATACAACACTATTTTAAGTAATCGAAATCATTTCGTCATATCAGCACCGATAACTGAGCGGGATTCGATCTCGACCGATTGCAATTTGCGCAGCACGCTCAGTATCTAGACCAGCGAGATTATTGCGATTATAGGATGACTGGGGCGACAGATAAAAAAGAAACTTCCGACTAAACGAAGCTGTACGAGAGTTCACCGCACGATACATTACGAAACCGACGCGATCAAGCTTGCGCAATGTCGCGTCATAATAGATACCAGGTACGTCGTATATTCAGGGTGTCCTCGACCTCTAGCGATACTTCTGGATTACGCATGACCCGACCGTGTAATTCCGACCGGCGCTGTCGCAATTTTCAACTTTCGACATTAAACACCGAAATCAAATCTCGAATAAAATTTTAATAAGGGAAGCACGGCTAATTATTATTCAAACGCTATTACGTGGCATTTGCATAATGCGGACGCTTTACCACGTAGAGCCGAAGATGTGTATGTGTGTGTGAATGTCGCTCGGTAGTGCTTCCGTCCGAGCGTCTCGTATGTACCAATATCGTCTCGTCGCTATCATCATTGCGTATCGTTTGATTGCCAATTAATTAGCTACTATAATTTCATAATAATTAATCATTAATTAATATCGATACCGACGTCGATGTATAATAATCGTGATTGCGATACTAATTAATCGCTGTGTGTATAATTGCTGTCGTCATTGTTATTGTAAATTTGTTGCGGGCAAATTGTTGTCCGGAAAAATCGCCGGTATCGGCGATGCATTTACGGCAATGTTTACGAGCGCGATAAATACACGCGCGTATCCACCTGCAATTCAACATTATAATGCGCATAACTGCATGCGTCCGATGGAAATAAACTCGTGACCGGCGTATATATTTATCCGCGGGACACGTGGTCGCGGATCGTCAGCCGTCATTGACTATACCATTCGGCGTCTGCAAATACTGTTTCGTCGTGCGCTTAGCGATGCCCAAAGGAAACCGGTTTCGCGAGTTGGTCTTTCACGGCGTTCGACAGTCTCGTGGGTACGCGACTCTTTTTCTTTTTCGAGTCACCTTATCGTCGATCGCTAACGCACGGAGAGAATGATCGACGTAGCGTCGACGTCAATCGTGAAAAAGAAATCGAATTTATCATTTGTAATACGTTCGACGACCTGACGACGACCAACATGAGGTTATAGTTTTTTAAACGTAAACTCGCTAATTCCATTTGATAGTTGGTCTGTTCTTTTAGCTTCAGCTGAATTGGACTGCACTAGTTCGAGAAATTTACGCATACTGAAGCGTGAGAATCTCGTATGTTTCATACGCTTCGATGGGTTACATAAATTTTTTTAGAATAGCGCAGCCAGTTTAGCTTAAAAAAAGAAACCAATTGAGGAATTCTTATACATTAAATTTTTCGAAGGTATTATAAATAAATTTTCGAACGATTGAATTTCAATTTGAGACTTTGTAATCCGAGGTTATCCTTCTGTTGGTGATGCTGATATGAGAAATGATAAAAAGCACACGAAAGAAAATCGTACTCGAGGGAAGTTGGCAGAAATACTCGGTGATTTAGAGAAAACGTATACATTGCGAAAGCATAGCGAGGTCTAAGCTTACATTTCGAGAGGAAGCTTTATATACAGGGTGCCCGTGAAAAGGAGATTTCTTAATAATACATTCTTATTAGACCCATTCTATTGTTGATTCTCACTCCTCACGAAACATCTGTATATGTGGAAAGGACATCGAGAAAAATAACGAAGAATACCCTTCTTTAGTGCAACAGGGAATTTCTCAGTCACATACATAGTTATATTGAAATACATAACGTAAAAAAATAACATTTACAAAGAAAGCGCGAATTTCTTCTTGAGACGGTCGTACAAAAGCGGCAAAATAACTGTCTCTGATCACAGAAGGGCTTCGTCTCTCTAATAGCTTTGAAAAAAATTCTCTCGAATGATATCTTTAATATATTTGTATAGCATATTAATATGAAACATTTACGACAAAAAATTAATAGGTTCATAGAAACCGTGAGAGTTGAATGAGGCGTTCATTTCGGAAAGGAAATGCGGAAAAGCGAGAAATTCTCGGCCGAGCATCAGCCCGGCGCCGATTGACAATCCCGTCTCTCTCTCTCTCTTTTGATAATCTCTTAATCGCCGCGAAATTTCATTTTCAAAACAAACGCCTCGGGGAAGCGGGTGTGCAATCAAAAATCACGCGAAGTTAGACTGGCCGATTACCATGAGGATCGAGACGGCGGCGGGGTGATCAGACGTGCCGCACTTCGCGAGCCGATTCTGCCGGCTGGCACGCCAGACCTGCGACAAAAATTGCGCGCATGCAGTTGCGAAGCGGCAATTTTCTCTTGTGTCCTCTTACTAGTGTCTTCGTCTTCGCTACGCGATCGAAAAATCGACCACATCCGCGCGCGCCTTCCTTCGTCGCCATCGACCCGTGATCTCGTAACGACGCACGAAAGACGCTCGGCGGAGCGTGAACGTAACGATCTTCCTCGGGCCGGTTCAGATTATGCGCATGGAGAACTTCATTTTTCATGCTGACATACATTTCAACGATTACAATGCGAATGACGCATCAAGAACGGCGGGCGCCAGCATTGTTAAAAGTCGCTGATTCTTGGGTTTCGATGTCTCTCTCTCTCTCTCTCTTTCTCACACACATACACACAGGGTGTTCCGTTCAAACCGGAACCTCGAAATTTAGACGAGTCCGCCGGTTTCCGCTCGCTTATCACGCTCGTCTCCCACGTTTCCGTCTCCCACTCTACATGTGATAGATAGATCACGATACAGTGGAACGTTCAACTCTCAGCCATGTGGCGCTTTTTTTCTCTACTTCTTTCAGCAGTACACGTAGAAATTTTAATCGAACATGCATTTCCCCTATCTTAACACATTAACGGTGGGCGATCTCGACGAAAGTAGAGCGCCTAGAGCGGGCGATATTTTGTGTGATCATAAAAACTTTAAGGTACAGTCGAGCTAAATCGTATTACTACGATTCCCACCCTTAATGTGTTAACATTTGTAAATCTAATATCGTACGACGCTTCGCGAGATAGTGACGCGCTCTACTCCGGAGCAGTGTTTTGCAGTTTGCGCGAAATACCCGTAAAATGATCTCAACGTTTATTCGCAAAGTTCGCGACGAAAAAGTTCGTCAGAATCGTATTTACAATTGGCGGAGCGACTTTCTTGCCCCGGGCGAAAACACGAGGTGAAATTCGTGCGCAAACACGAGCACGCGCTTCGAAAACTCGTCTCTCCCTCTCTGTGGATTTTCGCGCAATCTTCCGCGCGCGCGTTCGCCGCTCGATCGAAAAACACTGCTCCGCGGCATAAGAAATGTCGGTTCTCTCCCGAGCGGAGGGGACTCACCTTTCTGCTGCGACAGGCCTGCGGATTCGAGCACTCGGACGAACGCCGGCTGCGGTTCGTCTTGTAAATGTCCCATTCGTTTTTCACCACGGGCATCATAAACGCCATCTCGTACGCCGGTGTGTGTACACTCTGTCTCGTCTGTCCCACCTACCTCTCGTCGGTTCTTCGCGCGCGCCTTTCCTCTCTCGCTCTTTTCCCAAGCTTCTAGAAAGTTCCAGTCGCGCGGTACAGCGCCAGGAAGAGAAGACGATCCTCGGTGGGTTCTTCGACACTGGGTCTCTCTCCGCGTGATCACGATCGATATCGACTGGTGCGCGCCAACGTGCGGCGAACGTGACGAATGACGTTGTAGATCGGTGTTGTCGGTGCCTTTGAGCTCGCCGCCGGATTCTGCGATCGATCGGATGCTAATGCCGACTGGAAAACTGCATACACGTCGCGGGTGTGTGCGCGCCCGCCTCTCTCCAGACTACTGCGTGACACCGTCTTTCTTTAGCTACGGCGCGCGTGTGTCGCCTTTGATTCGACGATGTATCCGTCCGTGGATTCACGTGCGCTCGTTGCGGCAGTCCGCTACGGAATGAGCACGCCGGCGGTCGTGTGAGTAGGCGACCGATTCGCGGACCGAGCGGTGGGGGCCGCGAGCGTGTTCGCCTATTGGCCGCCGTTGAGGCGGGACACCTACGTCACGGGTTACCATTGATTTTTCAATGTTGATACACAGAGCGGCGTGACGTGCCGGATTGAATTTTTGGCCGCGCTCTCGCGCACTATCGTCTCGCGTAGGCGAAGGTGGATATTCCTTTTAAACCTCCCCCCGCGGCACCGACGTGCGAGGAAGCCACCTATTAACGCGCGTCAGCTGTTTCACGGATCGGGATTACATTCGCAGGCCTAGATTCCGCGACTTTCAACGTCGCGCACGTATGGTGGAAAGCTGCGCAAAGAAACGTAACCCGGTGACTGCCGTTGAAAGTTCTAGACCGGGTCTACCGAGTTTTTCGTCGCGGTGAACGCGCGACTCACTCGCCGGTATTTCGAGGAGCGTTCTCCAAGGACAGGCGGAAACAGGACGCAACGATCGGCCATGTCGAGAGCTGGACGAATTAAGCCGGAGCGCGTCGGAAGCGCGAGAGAAGTCGCACGCGAGACCGTGCGCTACGGCACGTAATACTTTTTCACGCGAAGCGTATCTTAAACACTCGATACGCTGCCATGCGACGTAATTCTACCAATAAGAGTTCGGTTAAAGCGACGCGCGAATTAGACTTTCACAACGACGATAAGTACGCGATATTTTGTAGCTCGAACTCGTAATTGAATCTTAGTGGCAGATATCAAATTCATATTTGCCACAGGGGGAAAACTAGAGATGAGAAATCAAGCAAACGCGTGCAGACAAAACGTCGTTTCACCGTCATTCTTTTTCTCTCCTTCTTTCACCTGAACGCGACGTTTACATCGCACTTTCAGCACGGTATCGCGCGCGCGATATAGCTGATAACGTATCTGACTACAATTTATCGAGACAAATAAAAAGATCGGTGGGACCGTGGAGCGTCATTATCAATCCTCATTGATTGGTCCGTCCTCGACCCTTCGTACGTGCAGCGCGAAAATGCGCGGTTCTGCTCAAGGTCGACTCGGTGGAGTGGAGGGAAGCGGGGTGGGAGGGTGTTATTGTTGCTGAAAATGCCGCAACAACGCTGACGAAACACTCGTGGCCCATCGGTATGCCCGATGGTGTTACGCAGACGTGCTGATTTACACGATAAAAGTGGCTTTCGCACTCTGTCCAACCACGCGTCTCTCGGCGCCTTGGCAATACGTGATGATCGCGTGGGTGATAACAAGCGTCGAAAAAAAGTGTGACATTCTGTAAAATCTTTCCACCGCAGCGAACTCCGGTGTGAATGAAAATCGAATTAACGAGCAATCGCCGATCAATTAGAACGTATTAATTGCTCACTCGAATGTTCTCCCACTCGTCGTCAGTGGAAACTCGGCAGAGAAGATGAAGACGCGATATATATTAACGATAATATTATAACGATACGTTAATTAACGACGTCTTCGCGACCTGTTGACGAAACTAAACTCTCCTTAATGGACGAAACTTTTGACAGGCGCATGCACCACGGCAGATTAATTAACGTGAGGCTACGAGTGCTCATTTCAGCGGTAACAAACTTCGCGCCGGCGATCAAAAGTTCCGCCAGGGATTGTTCCCGCGATAAAGGTCGATCGAATAATCGACGCTCGTTGATCGCCGCGCGGCCGTTTGCACCTCAAAGAGCATTTCTCGCGAAAAATTCACCCGCGTGTACAGTGGCGGCTAGTAACTACGAAAAGATCGCGAAACTGTCGAAAGCCCGGGTTTTGCGGTTTCCCCGTTGTTGTCTCGCGGTTGAAAAAGCGATTAAAATCGCATCGAACGCCACGACGATCTGGCACGCTTGCGCGCGCGGACATACACTTTGTGTGTGTCGCGTTCGCGGAGTGGCTTTACGGCCGCTCGAGAACTCGCCTAAACTTGTAGAAATATATAGCTTCGCTGTATATGTATAACAGATATGAATCGGAAATCAATAATCCACGCACACTTCCTCGCGCGCGTCGCGCCTGTGTGTAGGTCGCGGTGAAAACATGCGCGAGCAATACTCGTAATATTGTTCGAACACTCACCGTAAATAACTGAACGTATGTCTCCAAATAAATATACGTTCTTATGTTACATCGCGTCGCATTGACGCGGCAGGGAGGAAATAAAAGTAACGCAACGTACGAAATACTACGTTGTTTTGTAATTTCACTTATCGTACGCGCGATAAAACTTGAGAGATATATTTCCGTACCATTTTTCATTGATAAGGGATGAGAATGGAAATCTCAACGGACGAATGATGTTACGCGATATATCAAACGAGAGTCGATCATCGACAAATGACAATCTAGATCGTTCGAGAAATGGTACGACTCGTATCGCCTATACTTTGTCGATTATTTATCAACCGTCGATTACTGTTATTATCGACCGATCACTTTTCACGAAGCTTATCGGCCGTTCATTACTTATCGTACGTCAATTACTTATCGACGTGTAACGTATTGTTACTGCCCCAGCGGTAATAAAATCGAATTAGATGTACTCATCCCGACTTATTAATCGGCATCAATGAATCGAATCTTTGCTGATGAATGCCTGTACCAAGATAAAAACGATGTAACACCTCAATTATTGTGTAAATAAACTTTGTTACATATTCTAAGTACTATTGCGCTAAAGTGTTAGAAAAATAAAAAATAATGATCATTGATAAAAAAATATATATCTTCTTTTTTCATTACATAGTATTCAGCGAGTTAATATTGTAAGGATTCGTTTTTATTACAGTTTAACATAATATAATTTTTATCGATTCTGCTGCCTGATAATCATGAAACAAAGCAAGTCAGTAGATCTATTTGACCGATTCCGACACGCAATTATTTCGCGACTCTTATAATGAGAAATTAATGAGACTTTTCTTGGTTTTGCTCCGATAAATAATTCTGTTACTTTAATCGTTTCTTTCACTTTCATTGTTCAACGCAGTTCGCGATATCGTTATCCGATAACATCGCCGAAAATCATAAAAATTGAACGGGTCGGCCCAGGGACAGATATATACTCGTCGAGACAGTTACGAAAACTGTGTTCGTGGGGAAAGAACGCGGTGCATTCAACCCCCCTATATTGATTTTTCACGAGGGGGCGGAGTTACTCAGGAGACCGTCGCTTGCTGCTTAAGTGTCCCGTAGTTACCGATGCAACATAAAAAAACGAGGAAGTGTGCTTCCACTCGGCGAACCGAACGGCAATCACGACTAATTTTAAGGGCGGCAAGAACAGACGCGGGTGAAAAACACGTGCGGCAAAAAGTCAACATACGAGCCTCCGTTGTTTCTATTTTCTCACTGATTTGTTGTTTGTGATTTAATCAATAAGTGAATTGCAACATATCGATATACGAGTATAATGCCTTACTTTAATTAAAAATAAATTGGAAATATGTGAAAGTTTAAACATAATGTCGCAATTCAAACGAAATATTAAAAATAATCGGTGTCGTAACTTTTCTTCGTATTTTCACGTTGCCTCCTTCTCTCTCTCTCTCTCTCTCTCTCTTTCTCACATATAACCCCGTTTTCACAGTAACTTTTACCGTTTTCATACTAGTTCTCACATTACTTCCTTTAAAAAAACTTTACCACTTATTCATAATTTACAACGATTTATATTTTCCGCGAGCCCCTTCGATTTTCGTGCTACATCGAGGGTTTAGAGAAAGTATTATATATTCGCGCATAATCGCCGTAAATCGCTATATCGAGTGTGCGCTCGGGAAATAAGCACAAGGTCAGGCGCAAATATAGTTCATTGCTGTCGCAAGAACCAGCGCACGAAGTCGACAAACCGAGAAGTCAACCGCCAGGGGTTCACGATCGGAAATTCGCCTGCTTCTTTCATTTCCCTACGGTGCTTATCGAGCCTTGAGAAAAACTACTAATTATCGCCGTATGGGCCACAACACGACAGCTCGAGAGCCGAGCGCGAGAACGCCTTGTGAGGGTACAAGAAGAAAGGGGCTAATGACCGATTACATGCTTAAGGGCTCAGACACGATGAAAAAAACAAGGAACTAAATACACGGAATTAGAAACAAGGAATTAAATTTCGACATATGAACGATCATTCTTCAATCCACAATAAAAAAAAGTAGAGACTAGGATTAGGAACGCTGTCGAAATTTTATTCCTCATAATTTGTGTATTTATAGGGCTTAGTAGTGAATTAAAAGTTAACTTTCAAAATGTCTAATGATTATCAATACACAAATAAAAGTCAGTTTGAGTAAGTCGATAATTATCGAGAAAATGATAAGTGTTAACGATGACAGTAAAGGTTCATTAAAAAATAGCACACAGTAAAAAATTTTATGTCAAAAACGACTCACTGAACTGTTGTGCTTGTGTTGCTTTAACATGGGAAATATATTAAAATATACCCGAAAGTTAAATTAAAATATTTACCTTGTTAACATATTACCTTTTAACATATTCACCTCGTTAAAGTAACACAAAAATTTCAGTGAACCGTTTTTGACAGAAAATGTTTAAAAATATGTAAAAGTGGAAGAAGTAGTGATCTCGTTCTAACACATTCTTATATCTTACTCTCTATTCCTTTTATTACGTTTTCAAATATAGCTTATTCCTGATATCATATTTCTAATTTCCTGTATTTTTAATTCCTTGTTGCTTTCATCGTGTCTGAGCCCTAAGGGTGAGATACCTCTTTGTAGATATTTCTAAGGGTGAGAAAATCTCTTTGTAAATATTTCTAAAGCATATTTTGATTCACACACTCATGTATATAAGGGTTTTATAGAGTTTACGAGGATGTAAAATCAAAGAGCGGCATTTCAAGAGGTGGCAACGGTGCGTGACGTAAAGGATGCTCTTCCGATCTGATACCGTTATTGGGATTGACAGAAACTGCATAGAGACGTTCTGTCAATTGCCGTACTTCTTCCTCTTTGGCTTCCAACTGGCTAAGTAAATTACCCACGAGGTCTCGCAATTGTCCGTTCACAGTCCTGAGTTCTTCTATAATGGTGCCGGTATCCTTTGGATGTTTAAAGGCTTTATCGTCGTTACTCGGTATAGATATTAAACCCAAAAGACTGTCTTGCTCATCGATAGTTTTATATATGGCCTGACGTAAGGAACCATCATACTTGTTGAGCCTCACATCCGTGTTATCCTTCTCACTATGTTTAGCCATCTGTTTACTGAGAAAATCTTTCTGTTGATTCTCTAAGGTTGCTTTATATTCTTCGTACTGCGCCTGTTTCATTCTGAAAAAATGAGATTTTTTTATAATAATACAAGAAACATGTTCTTCTTAACTGAAATAGTTTAGACTTTAGACCACATTAAGACTTTGTTCTTTTTCCCCTCGATAAATTATATATGCTGTTTCGCTCTGAAAGCAAAAGTGTACAACCTAGTCTAGCTAAAAAGAACAAACTTAAGATTGTTTGCACATAAGATTTGTATGTAAAACAGGGTCTATAATGAGAATTTAAGCCCTAAGCCTTAGGAAATTAACAAGGGGAAAAAAGAATAGAGTTCCAGAATGCAGCACTAATTTAGCTAAAAAAAAAAAAAAAACAGTCTTTCGATATAACATAAAGCTGCAGTATTTGGTTTATACAGCTCATATATTATGATATACATACCTCACAACAGCAGCCTGTCTTTTGTGATAATCTCGTTGCAGGCTAAGAGATTCCAAACTAACGAGCGACTGAATCGACGTGAGGAACGTCTCTCGAGACGACAGAGTGGATGTGTGGGCACAGATAAGATTAGACTCAAGTTGTGTATGAGCTTCCGTTAAGAGATCAGCTACATGCTCGTGGCAACTGGCCGCTTCCTCAAATTTCCCCTCGCGCAACAACACTTCTGCCCTTCTTTGTTTCTCGTGTGCCTTGGGTCACAAATTATTGCCCGTTCTTTATAGCCAAACTGACTGCACCAGTTCAGGAAAAATTACCCACACCGAAGCATGAGAATTCTCGTACATATTCGTTTCGTACGCTTCAGTGTGTGTATGTAAATTTTTCGAACTTGGTGCAGCTGGTCAGTCATGTGTTAATATTATTGAAAAGGTGCATTTAGTATATATACAAGACAGTGTATGTGTGTGTGCGTGTGTATAGATGAATCGATAATTCCCTCCGTGATATTTTTCTTTCGTATTATTTTTCCCGTTGTATTTACTGGAGTAATGCGTACTCACGATTCCCTTGCTCGCTAATACGTGACAGAAAGAAAAACAACCTACTGCCAGTACGAAACGGTGCTCACTAGGTTTAAGGCAGAATTCTCCATGCTTGGCGAGTCCGTCGACGAAGGATTTTCCTTCCTTTACTGAATGTTTGTTTCGTCGATCCACAATATCACTCTTCAACCATGTTCTCTCCGATATTTCGTTTCATTCGTCGCAGATACCTAAAAACGCTGCCACGGTCAGTGACCGTTCGTATCATCATATTAGAATGAAGTGTCAAAATTATAGGATAGGTTACGATTTTAAAGGTTCATTCAGACGGATACTCAGAAACGAGTACACGGGCGTAGTAGTCGAGATTACTGGCATTTTCAATTCGCTGACTCGACCCGACGCGGGCAGCGTTCCACTAATCGCTACAGTATCGCAAACTATAGATGCGTCATAACCAGATGGAAAATACCGTATTTTCTGCTTCCTCCCGTCGAGAGTGCGACGAAACGCGAAATTGATGGAGCTACTTTTGGATTTTTAGATAATGGCAATCCGGAGATACCGGAGATACCGCATAAGGCGATGTATCTCGCTCGAATGTTCCAAGTACATGATTTTCATGTTACCACGACGAACTGCAGTGTCGCGCCGTCAGATGTCGCATCAAGGGACTCCTCGATTGGTGCACGGCAGCTGAAGGTACGCGCATTTTCGTGCTTTCCAGCCAACGTTACGAGATATTTATGTGAGCGGACGTTGGAAATGTCGATCCCATCTCCCGATCACGAGAATAGACAGCATCTGTGCCAACTGTCCGTCTTTCAACCGGATTGTCAGGTTTTTAGAGAATTGATCTTTTCTTCTAGCGTGAACTCGTGAAAGATGAAAATTTTCTAATGTCAAAACGTATGGAAATTTTCACGAGTTTACGTTAGAGAGAATGATTCATAATCGATCCCCAGGAATCTTGTCCGATGTCTGGTTGATAAGCCAGACGTCCGGTTTATATCCAATTAATAAGATGAGATTTACATCGTGAAAAGAAATTGATTAACAGAGTCCGGATTTCAGCAACGTTTTCCCTTTCCAAACGCCTACTAACGGTCCGCTAGTAGGCGTTTGGAGTGGGGAAAACGTCATCAAGATTGGAACTTTGGTGATCGGCTTTGGGAAAACAGATCAGGGACTCGATTCGTAATTAATTTACAGAAAAGCTATACGCTCATTGAATAACACTCGCAAGTTATGTATACGAGTAGTTACGGATGATTCAAGAATCGAACTCCTGATTGGTAAATCTAAATGTTTCAACAAAATGTTCATAACGGAGAAAACAAGTTTTGCTGCAGCAAAAAGATTTGTTACATGGAAAAAATAATTTTGCTGTTGTAACAAAACGTCGTTGCTATTTAGTAATAAAATTTAGTTGGCGTAATCATATGATTTTGCTGCTCCTATATCCAGCAAATAGCAGTAGCAAAAATATTCTTGACAAATCCTTTTACTGTCCAAACAAATGTTTTTGTCGTCTAAGCAAATTTTTTCTACTGTCACTATATTGGCAAACATTTGCTGTTGTAGCAAAATTTGTTTCCTCCATAGTTAAACGTCGAATGGTAAAATGATTTAATTCAATGATAAAAAATGTATTTTATACGTTAAATAATAGTAGTTTATTATTCTACAGAATAAAACTGTTTTTAAAATTTTGTTTGGAATGTTATACTTGCTTTCACTGTTATAATTGCTTTCTAAATTTTATACCTAGTTTTACGATTACTATTTCTATCTGATTTTATTCGATTAGGTGTCGTCACCAAAGAGGAAATGTCCAATAATTGAGACTTTTGGATTTGGCAGCCCTAATGTCAATGCCATTTCATCCTGTGGAGTTTCATTGAGTGGACAAAGCGTCGCGATGACGGGTAAGTAAATTAAGATATTTTAATGGAAATTTTCCTAGTCAGCGAGAAAGTTGCCACGAAACTAATTCTGGTCGCGTAATTCGTTGTTTGCGCCACGCAATGTTTGCCGATAGAATCTTGCTGCTTGGGACTTTTGAGAAATATGTATAATACTCTAATCACGTAACAACATTGCTCTTCTCTCTCTCGACTTTAATCCAATTCAAATGAGCATTTGCCTGTAAACTTTTTTCGATCGTTACTACAATGAACGCGTTTTGTCGAACGATCGACGATCAAGATCAATCGACGCTATCTTGCGAACGATACGAACGTTTTCTAAATTTCGGGAAACCGCACAGGGATAAGCAAGAAAGAGATAAATTGAGATGGAAGAGCGAGAGGAGAAGCGCGAGAGGGAGATATGGAAGCTAGCGTGAATATTTTTACCCAAGCCTGTTAACTACACTCTGTTATTTTATCTCACGTACGCGGCTTTCCTACTACCACCGTCGCGCCGCGCTGGAATATAAGTTTTAAGGCGTGTTTTGATAGCGTCAGGGCGTGTCAGCCGGGGCTTCCTACCTAATGGATCGCTTCTTCGCTCGTTCGTTCATACTTTTTGAGGAGTGCATAGCTCATGATACCGCGAAATTTCTCCCGATGCATTTGCAAAATTTCGCGGTCCCTTCCTGTAATCGCGCGATAGAGTCTTTACTCGAATTCCGGCGAAGCAGTCTTTCACCCTCCGAGGATTTTACAACACTCGTAAAAATCACATCCGATCGATATATTTCCTACGGAATAATATACCGACGGTATATTATAATCCTCGTACTATTTCATAGTTGATGAAAATGAAGACAACCTCTGTCGCGTGAGTTAAATGTGAATCTTCGCTAGCTGGTATATAACTAGCTGGTCGCGTGTGGATTTCAAGGGGAAAAGTCGCGGTCGATAATCGCGACGATAATTTCTCGACGAGGCGAAACGAACGCGCGAGCGAAAGGATGAATGGAAATGGCCGGGCCACGGCGGAGCGCGGATGAATGAACCGGCGTATATACGCGGGCGGTACAAACCGTAGCGTTGTTTTGGTTATTTTGGCAAACCTAACATAACACGGCTTGTTGTTTAACAAAATAATTGATTTTGTCGCCTCGTCTCCGTGCTGCTTTGCCCCCCTCCTGCCGTTTTCTCCCTCACTGTCGTCGTCGCCGCCGTAACGCTTCCTCTCTTTCTTCGTGCAGTTTCCGCGCCTTCGTATGTATTTCTTTCCTTCTCTTTACCATCTCGGCACTCTTTATCCTACTTACTCGCGCCAGATAGTAGTAGCCGCTACCACTTAGCCGCCGTGCGAAAACAAATTGTTCGATTCCGTTTGTTTGCCGCCGCGATGAAGATCTCGCGTGGATTAGTTCCTCGCGAACAACGCTCTTCTCTTGACGCCTAGACCAGCGTCTCTCTCACATTTTTCCCTTTCTGACAATAACAATTGTCCAGTGGAATTTCGCGCGTGTTAAAGGAGAAATTCCTTTTCGACCTCGTTACATCCATCAAAATATCGAACAAAACTCTTTGCAAGGTATATCTCTCTTATATATAATCCGATACATTTCTACGTAAAATACACGCGCGCGAAAGCGCCGTTACGGCGGCTATTTAAGTAAGAACTGTCGTCGCGCGCGCGACGTCGGCTTTTGCCACCGAATGTTTGCTTTAGTAAAAGCGAACGAAAGAGTTGCCGCGTTAATACTAATTCGACATCGAAGACGGGGGGATGTGAAGTGTCGATGACTGACAATGTCCTCGCCGCTTTCTCCTCGCGTTCGTCCCAAACGCGGGAGTGATGAAAGAGAAAGGAAGAAAAAGTACTCGCTTTTTAGAGCACAATTTTTCCAATCAGTAATAATCACGTAGAAGGGGTTTGCAAAATAATGCGAGATAAACAAATTACGACGAACAAAACCGTATAACAGTGAACGAAAATGCCGACAGAGGATTCTCCCGTTACGTTCTCGGAGAACAAATTATACCGTAATGTTTGACACATACCATTGCCTCTACACGAAAGTATAGACGCGTAAACGTTAGAAAAGATGAACTTTCATTGTCGAACGTATTCGGCTAATCAAACTCTCGAAGCTCATCGCGCATCTCGTACTCGCGCGTACGTAGGGGGGAAAGCCGTAAGAACGGTCCTTGTTATTACAGATGCCACTCGTTGGAGATCCCGGGGTGTATTTCAGGCACAAAGAAGCCTCCTTCTAATCCGGAAGAGCGATGCCTAATTTTCGGGAATGCGCGCGCCTTTCTGAAAACGCGCCTGCTTGCGTATTAATCGCGCGTTGTTACCTCTAATTATCGTACCTGAGCACCAAAGTCGACGCGATTTTGCTCCGAAGATCCTCGGAACTTGACATTTATGCGCAAGGAGAATCGGTGACCCGAATTCAAGTAAACTCTGCCAACGAGACGTGAAATTTTCGTTCCGACGGCGAGCGACGCTACAACGATGATAAGCGACGATAGGCACGTTACGTTCGGGCGTTTAAAAAACACGAAGCGGAAAGTAGAAAAATAAATTTGCCTCGCTTAATTCGATCCCGTGGAATCGTTAGCGACGAGGACGCTGTCCGTCACACATGCGCGCCGCAAGTGCGTCGCGCGCGCGCGAGAGAGTACTTAGCACCACCGCCGCGGCGAAACGCACGTCGGTCGATATGTGGTCACAATGAAGGGTGTGGCATTTGAGGACCAGAAGCTCCTCGCTCTCTCTCTCGTTCGGCTTTATCCTACGATTGGCTGTTGCCAGGTGTCGAGAATGGCGTCGAATCTTGCCGAACCCCTTCTCGAGCTCCGCGGTATATAGGGAGACTCGCTCATCCCGTTAAACTGGCTTCCCTCGGGACCTTCCTTCCTTCCTTTCCGAGCGAATCGACTTCTTTCGCAAGATCCCGCCGGATCGAGGGTTAAAAGTCGCTTAAACATAGATCACCCGGCTATGTGAGCGGAAATCGTGCGGGTTTGTGAGTAACTCACGCTACCTAGCCCTCGAGAGGACTCGCGTGTGATATCGAGACGTTTCCCCTTTCTCGGCAAAACGAGTAACCACTTCCGCGGCCACCACTATTTTAATGGATACACGTGTCGCGAGTATTTTGGATCCGCGCGACGACGAGACGCCGACGTTCGTGGAAGATTGATGAGGTGCGCTTACTACTAACTAACTCGCTCATGCCACCTCGCCAGTCGACTCTATGTGTCTGGCCATCATCGTCGACAAATGGTCAGAATTCCACCGAAACGATCGTTACATCCAATTACCCGATCGTAATGAATCTTTCCCTCGCGACGGCCCTTCTTGTTCTTGGTCGAGCAAGCCTCGATAGCGGTTTGCTTTTTACGGAATCAGCTGTGCCGATTGACGCGTTCATTCATTCAAGAGTCGCCGATGCGATGATTTTCTCCTCACGCGTTAAATCGACGTGTAAAAAATCACGCAGATTCTCGGAAAAGCCGGGCAAATGAAATGGTCAGAAAGTTCGCCGGTCGGAGATGGTTAATGAAGCATCACCATGGGATTAGGCCTGCGTCAAGCCACAAAACCAGCCTCTTCTCCGGGGTTCCGCGGGCGCGCGATGAAGAAACGGAGGTTATTCCTGGTTGAACAAACACTGGAATGGGTCGCGTGCGCCTCCCACATATTTATAGATTTTATCTCTCTTT